TCATAGGATTTTTTTTTCGTTGCTTAGTTTTTGTTTTATAGGCAAATAATAACTAATTTTTGGTCGAAAAATCGCTATGTTATGTTCAAACGTCCGCTATTTTTTCATAAATCGGTATTTTCAAAATCGGCTATGACAAGTACTAGATTATAGTATCTAATTTAATAATCTTTTTGGTTTTTTTGTTTCAGATGATTTTTGAAGAAACGCCAGTGGGCACCGTTTACCCGGATTTTTTTACGGCGCTCCGAAGATTATACAACAACCTCGTCAATTTTTGATTTTTTTTAATAAAAAAAATCGAACATATTCCTGAATGTGTATACTTTTAGATACAGAAACTCCCAATCCGAAATTTCAAATAGTTTTCCTTAAAAAAATTCACAAAGATGACCTTTTTTCCGGCTCCTAAGTGTATATCTCCCCTTAAGGGGATATCTTACTTTATAGATAAAAAAAATCGATTTTTTTTCATGAATCGATAGACAACTCTTCAAGAGAATATGTTCCTAAAATTTTAGAGCGAAATTTGAAGTTCTTCGGTATAATAAATGCAGTGCTTGTATATACGGGTGCACGGCGCGCAGATATAGACGAGTTTTTAGACGGGAACGTCGACGACTTACAAGGGAACTGTCGGAACTCAACCAATCCTCACCGATTTTAATTAGCTTTGGATATGTTGTAGAGTATGAAACAATATTAGATCCATATTTTTTTTGTGCTTATTTCGAGGTTTAGAGGATGAAATATCCCCTCGAAAACAATCGGTTTTTTTCTATCGAAGCGAATATCGTCGAAACTATAAGTTAGAAAAAATTTTCCAGATTGAAAATTGAATGACTTTAAGAGTACTTTAGAACTGTAATAAATAAATTTTTATTATAAATAAATTTTTAATAAGAATTTAAAAAAAATTTTTTTTTGTTATAGTTCTAAAGCAGAGCTGGGATTTAGTTGCACATTTTGGCAGATTTTCGACTTGGTTCCTGTTGATCAGCATTTAGATTACGCGCGAGTTGGATGAAGTAAGCAAGAAGCAGCAACCAAGCTGAAAATCGACCGAAATGTGCAACTAAATCCCAGCTTTGTTCTAAAGTACTCTTGAAGCTATTAAATTTTCATTTTGGAAAAATTTTTCTTTCTCTTATAATTTCAACGATATTCGCTTCGAAAGAAAAAAAATCGATCTTTATCGAGGGAGTGTTTCATCTCCTAAACCTCGAGATAAAAAAAGTATGGGTCTAATATTTTTTCATGCTCTACAACATATCCAAAGCTCATTAAAATCGGTGAGGGTCAATTTCAACGGTTCCGTTGTTAATATCGAGGTCCGAGTAGCTCGTAGAATGACTCAAATCAAATTGCTCAAAATGAATTCCATGAGGAAGCTGAAGGATTATTGCCCCTGGAATAGCAGATTAGCCTCCGAGCATTCTGAGATTTCAAGAACTAAACCGAAAACTTTAAACGCGTTTTTCTTAAAATCTGTTTTTTGCATTTTTTTTCAATTTTATGTACACGATTGAGAAAAAATTACTTGATCAATCGGCTTTTTGTAGGACTTGTTAATTGACTAATAGTCAACCATTCTCGATGACCTAAAAATTAAATAAAAATCAACATTAGCCATTTTTTTGCATAAAGAAACGGTTGCTACTTAGTGAAAATTGTAACTTTTTTTAAAGTCACACAAAATTTTAATTTAAACCTTAACTTTCCTCTCATGGTTAGAGTCTTCATCAGCAATCTTTCCTCCTAGCGCAACGATTGGAGTATTGCATGACCAAATGATATCTCCAACGTATTTCTTCTCAAAAATTGAACCATTTACTGTTGTGAGGTAAGTCACATACTCACAAAGTTAGAAAGCTGAGTGGCAATGAGAACTCAAGCT